CAGTAAAAATTTCTTATAGAGGTATGTAAACGGGCAGAAACGAGTCGTTTTATGCATGACTTTGTGTTAAATGTATGTAAGAGAGACAAGAAATGACTTACCTGAATCATCATCAGCATCAGTAATTGAGCTCCATCAAAACTTATTTTCTTTACAAATGTAAAATTAACTGGTAAATGGTTATATCTTTTTTCACTTTTTCTTTTTTATCAAAGTCAATCTACAATCAGTAATATGGCAGAATAATAATAACACAATAATACAAATTAATGCTGATCAACTGATGCATTTTATCTTTTGCAAGTAGTACATAATTATGTAGATGCTCTGTTACAACGCACTTTGAAAAATTACGCACTTTGAAAAAAATTTTCAAAGTGCGTTAAGTTTTGGGACCAGGTTAACGCACTTTGAAAAAATTTTTCAAAGTGCGTTGAATTTGGGACCAAATCAACGCACTTTGAAAAAATTTTTCAAAGTGCGTTAAAACTGTACATCATAATTTTACACCATGTACACATTTAACGCACTTTGAAAAAATTTTCATGAAACAAAAGGAATTAGACTTATATTTTTGAAATAGACAAAAGTATTATCCCCTCGCAACGTATGATGGCATATAGTGATGCAATTATGTGTGTTATTACTTTATGTGTATATTAGTTTTTTCTGTGTGAAATTTACGTAATTTGTATCGGGATCGATGTCAAATGATTTACTGAACATGCTTTTTTGGGAAGGAATGCTCCGCTTTGCAGTGCCCTTACTTTGATATGTTTCTTTCTAAAAACTGATGGATTGAAGAAAACCAAGAAACGGAAAACGAAGAAAAGACTGGCTGATTTTAGGTCTATCAGCTCAACTCTTTATCATTCCCACCCAGATATATCTATTTCTATAAATCGTTACCTTAAGTGTCAATATATTTGAAAAAAAGAGCATTCTAAACACAGTATAAGCACTGAACAAGGAAGTCTGTAGTAAATCGAAATTTTGTTCTCTTAAATCTAAAAATCAGAATATTAATTACTACTTGTTAATTCCTTATTTTTCGAGAGTGTTTTTTTTTTTATCGCGAACTGGCTCTCAAACGGCAAATCACTAAATATATTAATTCGGCGAATGAACGGTTAATGAACAGATTTTACATAGATTTAAGCATCAGAAAAATAAAAGTGAGTCATATTCTTTTCGCGAGTGATGCTTCTTGCGAAATAACGCAGAATATTAAGGAATCTACAGTACCTGTCTGCTTTTCGTTGTTAATTTGACACCATATCTGATAATCTCTCTGTTAAACTCCAGGTTTTTAAAAACACAAGTTTTGCCAAAATTATAGAGTTATTTCTCTTTGGTATTCCAAATAAGTAAGGTTTTATGAAAATTCACATAAATATCTATAAATCTTTTTAGAATCATTCCAATATGTTAACTTTTGAAAGTGAGCTAAGAGATGGGCGGAACATGAATACTATCGTTCGTAGTTCTTTACGACATTGAAAGTTGACCTTTTGACCCCAAATTTAAAAGGGGTCTTCCTAAGGCCACAGGGATTCTGTTATGTTAAATTTCATTGCAAATGTTCAAAGGTTGGCGAGGTATCGTGTGGAAACGAAAGCGTTACAGAAAGACGGATGGACGGACAGCTAGACGGACGGACTGACGGATGAGACCAAATTGATATCTCCCACTTTTCAAGCGGGGGACAAAAAGTATCAAATAGGTTCAAATGATAATTTATCATACGTAAGATTTGTAGGAATATTGACTAAGACATGCAGAATTTTTTTTTCAAAGTGCGTTTATATTGGTCGATATTAACGCACTTTGAAAAAAAAAATATTTTTTCAAAGTGCGTTAACCTTACCAAAATTTAACACACTTTAGAAAAAAAATTTCAAAGTGCGTAATTTTTTCAAAGTGCGTTGCCACAATGCTCTTCGTATATTATAGTTGAGCCGAAACTGATTCGAGAAGTTTACAGTGTGAGGATACTTGGACAACAGTTTGACACAAACGAAAGACAGTTTGAAGCAGGAACAGCTTTACAGTTAACTTGTACAGGACAGATAGGCAGTGATCCTAGTGCGGTAAGTTTTCACAAGTTAAAATGCTCAAATTGTCTATCAATATATATGCAATATCAAAAAAAAATGTTTTCCGTTTTCAAACTTTAGAAATGAAAAAAATTCTATTAGCAAAAACTATTCTAAGACAGTTTCTTTAGAAATATACCAAAGAACCTTTTATTTCTACAGCTAGAAAAAAGGCAGAAAATTGTCTGAAAATTGAATTATGCCAATCTATATGAAAAAAGTATTTGTTCAAAGATTTCAGCAAAAAATGAATTAATTAAGACATGTACAAATCAAATTAATTTCTTGATTAAGTTAATTTAAGATTGTTTCCTTTAACAACAGTTTCAGAAAAGTGTGAACCTGTCAATTTTATTTTAAAAGAAATGCTAAAAAAATGAATTTCAATGTGGCACTAAGAAAGAAGAAAAATGTATTCGAGTGGATCCCATCTCTAATTCAATACTCGAACAGACGTTTTGATATTTTTCACGGTGGGATATGAAGATAGCGAACAGTATTCAATCTCAAAATCCATAAATTTTATTTTCTACCAAAACTAATTTGTAACCATATCTATTAGTAGTTTCTTTTAGTCGTCTTTATATAAGTAGGAAATACCACTTTAAACAGAAAAAATCAAATTATATTGAAAAAGTCATTGGATTATTTACAGATTCGTAATGCTATATTTGTATAGATTTAAAAGAAATGCAGGTTTTATGCAGAGAAACAGTTATTAGCACATAATAAATACTGTTTCTGTTGATTTAATTTGAACGTCTGTTTAAAATTTGCCTCCTTTGTATGATTTGCAGACAATACGTTGGTGCGCTAAGACTGCTGTAGCACAGTCCTTCACAGGGTTACCACAGACACCAGTCCACTCCCAGCCCTCACCATCTGGCTGTCAGTTCACCCGTTCTAGTACTATCACCTACAACCTTACAAGCAGTGACACCTATACACAGTTTCTGTGTGAGTCTGGACACTCTGGTCTCTGTGGAACAGGAACAGCCAGACAGTATGTTAACATAACCTTAGGTAAGGGATGAGGTCAAAATTGGAATATTCAGTCTTAGACATTGTCTTAACAAAACCTCAGGTAAAGGATTAAGGGAGAGGTCAAAAGCACAAAAGGCGTATTCTAACTACAATAGATTTTCTGCATTTCTATTTTATTTCAATCAGTAAAATCATTTGAAAGGGCACAAGCCATTGATAAAACTTGATTATTATCATATTGTCACAGAACTTTAACCTTGCCAATCTTTAATTTTTGAACAGTTACACCTTCTTTTACCAAAAATATCACACTTTAACCTTGGCCATAACTTTTGAAAGTTGGAGATAGGATTTTCGTACCTGACATGTGAATTCATTTTAACAAGAACTTTCAGTTGGTATAAATATTTTTGACCTTCGACCTTCACCTTAGAGACTGACCCATTTAATAAACAAATATTTAACCTTGCCGACAGTTTTGAACAGTTAGGACTTGGTCTTTCATATTTAACAGGTATATTTCTCGTGACAATGCCTTTTTTTATCAACAAATTTTATCTTTGACCTCGACCTTTGGAATTTGACATGTATTTGAGAAAATTCAACCCTTGCTATCTAGAGCATCAGTGTTTCACAAACACATCTTTTTGATATAAAAAAATTGTTCTTTTCAATATCAGATTTACCAAGACTTTGTAAATCAGTTTCTATTATATTATAAAAGTATCGATCACAAACACCATTACTACCTTATTTTAAAAAGATATATGCTCATCCTTTGAATCATTTATGTCTTGCTTTTTTATTTAATGATGCCACGAGAAATTGGATCCAATACATTATATCGTAATCTCGTTTAATCTTCAATCAAAAGTATCCATTTACGTATATAATAAATCTGAATTGGTCATTGAACTGGGCAAATATATCTTCAATTGCCGTCATTCTATATCTACGGTATCCGAAAATTTAAATGATAATGCTGACTTATAAAATTTAGCTTCTAATTACTTTATTTCAAAGTAAAAACTACCTAACTTATGTGCTTATAATAAGCAATAAAAGGAAAAGTGATATTGGGAGATGATTTGAAGCTACAGTACCGACCGACCTATGATTTTATAGATGTTTTTATCTTTATTTCACAGAGAGTCCAGGGTTACAGCAGAGTGAATCCAATGCTTGTTCTACAGGTTGTTAATACAAGATAAATACAGATGCAAAGTTTTCTAATCACATGATTCTAAATGATTTAAAGCCATAAATAGAAGCAATATTTAAAAGCATACACAAATGGGAATAAAGATAAAGCATGCGATTCCAGAGTTACCTGCTCTCGTTCCAGTACTTGGGTCAATCTCAACACTATTACTCCTCCTCTGTGTTGGACTTGTAATGTTCATCATAGTCCTAAAGCACGATATTAAAAATGGTAAGGATATATAATTCATAAAAAAATATTTATGAGAGCACAGAAAATCTATTGAGATATTTTTTCACATTTAATTTAACTATTACATTTCTTTTGCTAGGCATGTGCTGTTTCCAGAGATCAGAGTTAGTATGTATATATCAAACATTATATTTATAACATTATAATGGAATATGGATATAACTAACAGCATTCAAGCTCCTTAGTCAATTCACAGAATACATCTTAGGTTACCAAACGTACCTCGAATATATCAGAGGTGGTACCAAGTGCCATGGAGGAGTGGGTATTCCTTACGGACAGGTCACACCTGCGGGAATACTGACAAATCCAGGCGATTTTATGTGTAAATAATGATCTAACAATTAGAATGAAATATATCAGTCGAAAATGACAGATTAATTGTATTTCCTGACAATGTCTTTGTGTCGACCATTGAACTTGCAAAGTGATGACTTTTAACAAAGCTCTTGATATTCTTGTTTCATCAGCTTGTTAGTCAGTTACTTAAATCGAAACATGGAGATAACGAACAATATTCAAGATCAAAAGTCTATAAAACAATACAAAATAGGAGCAGATCAAACACAGATCTCTAAAACATCAGAGAGGGAAGCAGGTGCCTAGGAATTTATTCGTACGTAATTTATGGTCTTTTGTATCGGGCTAGGAAATATAAACACCACATACAAGTAAAAATATTATATTGCAACATAAGTCAGGGGAGTTAACGATTAAAAAGTTAAAAGTATTTTCAATTTCAAAAGTTAATAAATAGATTGATATTTTATTAATAATTATTATATTATTCATTTATTTTATTTATTTGCTGTGTATTTATTTCGCTGTTTTCCGTTTTTTTTTTTTATTAAATACTGTTTTGACTTTGTACCATTTGTTTAAAAAAAAAAGTCAGCAGGGGGTACTGGTGCATTTTGGAATATTTTAGTGTTTAAAACCAATACATTAATTGATTTCAGGTAGTTAGTAAATAAAAAAAAAACTAATTAACTGCATGAATTTTATCATTATAAAAACAAACTTTTTTATCTTTGAAATTGACGATACAAACAAATTAAATAACAATATACCTGAAAATTGGATTTGTTTGGTTTATTCTATACAAACCGATTTCCGATAAAAAAAAATGTGTCAAAGTATTTTTGAAGCATATTAAAACTACTTCTAATTATTTTACTTCCATGATGGATATCAAAATAATCGTCTCATTATGCACAATCTTTACCCGTCAAAAGCTTCCTGGATATTTTTATTTTGTTTTGATTGAGAAAAAAATCAGTTCTCATACAAAGAGAAAATGTTATTTCAAACAGCTACAAAATGTATACGGTCACTCTGAACACAACATAAACAAGGTATAGAGGTCAGTGAAAAATACAATAGGTGTCATGACTGTCTACCCCGAGTTAATTACTGGTACACATCAATGGCTTTGATGTTTTTACAGAACCGTGTTAGGGTTTTAAAAACTGATTTTTAATCAAATCAATGTATCAAAAATTTAATTGACAGATTAATATTGTACATAATGAGACGATTATATTGATATCCATCATGGACTTATAATAATAAAAAGTCGTTTTAGTATGCTAATAAAATACTTTGTAGCACATCTAAGGAAGCAACTGTTTATGTAAAATAAATCTAAAGAAACACAATTTCTTGCAGATATAAATGATTAATTAATTTTTTTGTATTTTCAAATTCAAACGTAAATAAATAGATTGATATTTTCTTTTATTTCGCTGTAATCTGTTTTATTCATTAAATATTGGTTTACTTCGCACAATTTGTTAAAAAAGAGAGAGAGAGAGAGAGAGAGAGAGAGAGAGAGAGAGAGAGAGAGAGAGAGAGAGAGAGAGCACGGAGTACTGGTGCATTTTGGAATTATTAATTTTTTTTAATAAATGCAATAAGTTTTGTTTTGAACATATTTTCTTGAACGAGTCAAATGGATTGGAAACAAGTTCTTACAACTTACAAGTTCCTCTCCATAAATATAACAATATGTCATGCAAATAATACAATAAAATATAATAATTATAATATTTTCAAGTGATACAAGTTAATCATAAATTTAAAATGTACATGTTTCAGTAATTTAAAATTTAAAATCTACATGTTTCAGTAATAAATCTATGGACAGCAGCAAAAATATTAATATTAGTTGATATAGGCAAATCTCTATCACCCCATAATAGTAGGTTAGTGTCAATAGTTACCAATTCTTCTAGCATGAACAGGTGGTTAAAAAGATTGTTTCTAGCATTTGCATACTTTGTACAAGCAAAAAAATAATGATAAACATCTTCATACTTTCCACAAGAACAAAGAGGACTGTTGATAATATTGATCATAATTAAGTAAACAGTTGTGTCTTAGTTTAGTATGAAGTATGTTTGTGTAGCGTTTACCAAAAGAAAAATATGTTGGCGGATTGCTGATTTTTGTACATGCTCTTAAGTTTTTACGGAAGGAATTAATTGAGATGGCTTCTTTTGTATCTAATTTCAATAAATTCCATTGCTTCACGGCGTCTGGCACAAATGACTTTTTAAATAGTTCTAATCTACATCTTGGAATAATGTACTGTTCTTTATTGCGGGTATTGTATTTTGATACATTTTCATGCTTGTTTGGTACAATATTATTTAAATATTCAGGGACAGTCCCTTTATGTATTTTAAACATAGTAGACATTTGTGCAACATAACGCCTAAATTTTAAAGTTTCCCAACCAGTTTCTAAATAAAGTGTTTCAGTAGATGCAAAAATAGGAAGTCCGGTGACAATTCTAGCCGCAGCTAGTTGTACTTTTTCCAGCTTTTCAGAATCTTGTTCAGAGCACCCATCCCATACAACAGAAGCGTATTCGAGCATTGGTCTAATAAATGTAGTGTACAATTTTGAAAGGTTGTTTCTACTTAATTTAAACTTACGTTTTTTCAAAAGCCCAAGTTTTTTATAAGCATTATTTACAATACCGTCAATATATGCAGACCAGCTGAGATTCTGTGACAATAATAAACCCAAGTGTCTATGGACTGGGGCGCATTCTAGCCTGTCTCCTTTAAAAAATAATTTTGGCATAATAGAAATGGCCTTAGTGTTAAAGAAGACTACCTTTGTTTTAGATGGGTTAAATTTTAGAAGCCATTTATCTGACCATGATTCTAAAATGTGTAAATCGTGGTTTAACTTGTATTCAATGTCTAAAATATTGTATGAACATTGTTGAAGTGAATTATCATCAGCAAACAATCTACACATGGACATCATATTTTCAGCAACATCGTTTACATATATCAGAAATAAAAGTGGCCCCAATACAGAGCCCTGAGGTACACCTGCATATAAATCAAGTTTTGAAGAGAACAAATCCTTATACATTACTTTTTGTGACCTATGATTTAAATAACTAGAAAACCACTGTAGGATATCTCCGGATAAACCATAAGTTTGTAATTTAAAAATGAGACCCATGTGCCATACTCTGTCAAATGCTTTAGACAAATCACAAAAAACCATACAACATACTTTTCCTTCATCAATATTTTGTACAATACTATGATATGTTTCTAGTAATTGATACACAGTAGAATGTCCGGGTAAAAAACCGGCTTGATATTGATAAAACAGATTATTACCGTGAAAATAATTGTACACATGTTTAAAAATAATTCTTTCCATAATTTTACTAACACAGGATAACAGCGATACAGGTCTATAATTTGAAACAAAAGAGGGGTCATCCTTTTTAAAAAGAGGAATAACATGAGCTATTTTCCAGAAGGATGGAAATATTCTATCTGACAGGGACCTGTTGTATAACATAGTGAGTGGTTTAACAACAGACTGAAGAGTAGATTTTAACATTTTATGACTTATGCAGTCGGGACCTATAGCTTTGTTCACGGGAAGTATGGAAATAATGTCTGATACTTCATGTTCTTCAATTGATATTTTACAAAATGTGCTACTACATAGATTGTACATGTTTGGTAGTATTTCATTTGAATCATCAATAGTAGAAATAGATGAAAAATAAGAATTTAAGGCTTCAATTTTGTCTAAGTCAGAGTAAGCCAACTTTTTACCGCCTTTATCATTATGTATTTCAATAGGTGGTATCTCGTTAGATAGTTTAATGTTGAATGAATCCTTCATTAGTTTCCAATAAAGTTTATTATTATTTTTACTTGAGTCCTCTAAATATGTTTCAATATTGTTGTAATAATTAGCCATAGCATGTTTCTTCATATTGTTGACCGAATTCCGTACCTTTCTATATTCAGACCGATCAGATACTCTTTTAGTTTTATGTGCTTTTTTATGAAGACGGTCTCTAGTTCTAATTGTTTTCCTTGATAAAGAATCGAACCATGGTTTGTCACGGGGACGGATTGTAATTGTTTGTTCCGGTACGCATTCGCGAACACAAGTGAGATATTCAGATGTAAAATTTTCAGTGGCCAAATCTATGGTATCAGCTTCATTGATGATTTTATCCCAATTACAATTTTCTATCAAAGTATTTAATTTACCAAAGTCCGCATTTTTATAGGCCCACACTTTTCTTTTGTAAGAGCGGTTGTAATTTATATTAGAGAAAAGCGAAATAAAAGTAGCTCTATGATCACTTATAGATGATTCCATTACTAATGTACCCGATTCGCATACTTGAATATCAACAGAAGAAAAAATTGGGTCAAGCAGCGTGCTCGACGTGTTCGTAGTTCGTAAGGGTTAATGTACGAGTAGCGCTCCATTCCTTAAAAGTAATGGAGCTGAGGCCCCGAAGGGGCCGAGGCCCATTACTTTTAAGGAATGGAGCGCTACGAGTATGTTAACCCGCGTAAAATCCTCCTTTCTGAACGCTTGTTTTATTGTTTGTTAATATATAATAAAGAATATTCATATGATAGATTGTAAATAATTTTTACATGTTAGTAGTATTATTTATATATAATATAGAAAGAAAACTAAAAAAAAGTGTATTGAAGTTAATCCAAACCCATGCCTCTCAACAGCTTCGTTAGCTCAGTGAATTGAGCATCGGACTGCCATGGTGAAGGTGCCAGGTTCGATTCTCATCACCGCTGCTCTCATTTTCTTAACGTGAAAATAACCTTTACAATTTTCTAAACTCTTCTCTTAAGGAGGAATGCCACACCAACTTTTTATTTTATAGATCTCTGAGTCAACCTTTTTAAACAATGGTTTCAGTATTGAAAGGCCTACATTAGCTCTTAATTATTTTATATGTATTTTTTTGTATATTTTCAAAGAAAACGAAAAAAATTAAATACATCCAAATTAGGTGCTCCCTTGTAAAATTTTTATTGTAAATGAATGCATCACATGAATACCGAATAAAATATGTAAAGAAAGTCTGATTAGACTTTTTAATTTTTTTTATAAAAAAATATTTATGAAAATAAAACATATAATTTGTAAATATTTTTTAAACTTGTGGTTAAAATCTTCTTAAAACCAGCCACAACTAGGGAGAACATGTTCATTAATCATATTTATAAAAGAAATTGAAACGAAATAGCCAAATTTTAGAGAAATTAATTTTTTTTAATTTTAGCCAATCCCCATCAAAATTAAACCGATCCCGACCATAATTGTACAA